TACTGGTTTAGGGTGTGACTCACAAACAGGACAACTCTCATTGAGGTGTCTCATGAAGTTACTGCTGCCTACAGAGCTGGCCCGTCTTGGAAGCCATTCCTGAACCATCAGCTCCTTGTTCTGAAGTAAACCAGATGGGTTTATATTTGGCTTGAATACAAGGCTTTTAGGTAAATGTTTCACAAACAACTTAGCTATCTGTGCAGGCAAGGAGGATGAACCTGCTTGAGGGCAGTAAAATCAAGGAGCCGATCTCTCCAGGGTCCTTCATCTCCAGTCTGTCTGCTGGTTTAGAATGAGTTAAAGCCATTCTATTGTAATTCCTCAAGGATTGCATAGTTGATATGTCAATCTACAACATGAGTCACACAGGCTAATCACGATACCAGTCTCTCTCATAGATGATTATCTGCAGGAGCTGCTTTAAAGAGGGTACCATTTTAAACACAGTGTGTCAAGATATATTTAAATTACAGTAGTTACACTGTAATAGATGCGTATGTGAAATTATGCTTACAGAGCAGATTTCTTGCAAAGGAAATATAGGAGAGAGCCACTCAAATTTGATTTGAAGGAAAGTTTGCAATTTTAAGACATTGTTTACGTCTTTTAACTGATGCTGTGCTCTCTCTATGAGATATACAGATGTGTGTATGTGTATTTCTTTTTTTAATGAGGCTTTTAGGTTTTGCTTCTCGGGAGTTCATTTTGTCATATAGATTTGTAGGTGTTCCATAGATAGGGGAATAATGCTGTAGGCTATTCTGGACAAAATTTCTAATGCATGGCTGCCTGCAATTGGGAGAGCTGGGCTTGACAGTCCATCAGGATCTGGGTAGTCCCTTCCAGTCCTCTGTTCCATTTGCGATGCAGATAGTTGTCCAGTGACCTGGAAGGAGAATGCCTATTCATTTCTGACAAACAGCCTTCAGATAGTGATGTCTTTTCATTACTAAAATGAAGAAAATAATGGCAGAGATATGAAAGACTTGCATCTTGCACCAGTTTCCTTGAACCATTGTTTCTGAATGCTTCAAACCAGTAATTCCTTTTGCAGTTGTATGAATCTGCATGTACATGTGCAGGTACGTGCAGGACAGAAAGGTGCATGAGGATCGTAACAGGAAATGGAACTGTCTTAAATAGATGGTTATTGAACATAAAGGGGAGCTTCTAAAGCACAGAGCTTGGCGGAGCTTCACTTCACACATCTATGCATTTTATATACGGAAAATTCATTTTAATGTGTTCTAGTTGTAAGCAAAGATGAAAGGGTGAGAAATAAGCTTTGTCGATAGAAACAAAGCTCTGTTTTTGTGTAAATTGTGCAAGCCTAGGCTTTTGTTCCTACAGGATAATTTTTCAGAATTATTTTTAAAGGAAATTAAAATCTTAAGATATTTTTATTTTTAACACTGGAGTACTTCTTAAAGGCAGCTTCCAAAACTATGCTTCATGCTTTTTAAAATCTCTTTTTTTTATTAATTTACCCATGCAAATCGGAGAATTTATTCCAGTGACTAGATGATCTCTAGTGATTCCTTCCAACCTCAACAATTCTGTGATTCTGTGATATTTGTGCACACAGCTGTGTGCTTGTACTGCCATTTGTGTGAGCAATGTTTATGGATGTAATTTTGGAATCTATTTATCTTTTGGCCTGTAGGAAAACTGAAAATACTTGCATGAGTGATTAGTGATACCAGTAGACGTCTCTGTTTTGTACATTAATCACCTGTTCTGATATAAATGACAGAAAAATTCCAGATTAGCCATCACAGTTCTACTGTGTCTCTACCTCTACTAAAGCTGGGTTCTTTCCCTCTCCCGCCTATAGTTTGATGTGTAAAACAATCCAGGGCATTCAAAAGAATACATACAGGTAAAGTAGTTATAACATTAGAAAAGGACTAGCCATGTAGAAAGATTAAATTAATAAGAGAATAGTTAGGATTAGGACCAATCTTGTGTGAGGATCCACGTGATTCAATTCTTCATCTGTTTTTCTGTGAGATGACTCAAAATGCAATAACTCTGTTAGGCTGCTGGGGTAGTTTTACCCCAGTCCTCCCTTTCTCCTGAATATCCTCCAACAAGAATATCCTTTGACATGTTATGCCTCAGGCTTTTACTCCTCTAAGAGGGAATTACATAACTTGGATGTTTTCTGAGAACAGGACTTGGGTTATGCTCCTGAGTCCCATACATGACTACATTTTAAATAAGCTTAGAAACAACTTGCTCAAAACAAAGGGCTATTAGTCCATATATCAGCAGTACCAAACACAAAGATAGTAGAGAAACCTAAGAAATGAAAAAATATGTCTCTGTCTTAGTGTCTTTGTTCCTCAGAGAGATACACTTTGCAATTGGGAGGAACAACATGCTCTTGGTCTCTCAGATTGCTATTTTTTCATTAAAAATAATAAGTGTCATTTCTTAGGTTAGTCTTTTTTCAGACCACAGCCCTTTTTCTAGGACCTCTCAGGGTTTAGGTTTCTTTTGTTCCCAAAGTTGGATTAAAGGAAGAGTGCCTTATTCCGGCCTGAAAGGAATCGCTCATTGCTGTCACTACTTTTGGAAGCCTTGCATCCCAAACTAACTTGTTCATCTCACTGTTCTGCCTTTTGCAATTTGTTCCTCAAAATAGTAAGGCACCTCTTCTTATTGCAACTCTGTAACTTCAAGCAGAAGTACAAAATAGAACAGGAAAAAATAGCTGCACCTGAAATGCAAAAAAGATCATAAAGATTCCCATTTCCTCATAAATGTAGCCTAAGCTGCCATCAAACAGTGAAGATTGCTTAATAAACATCCCTCTAGGTCCTTATTTTCTGTTCTAATTGCCTAGGTGATTGTTCTCAGGGAAGCGGCCCCGCTGGTCCTGCAGTCCACAAGCTGTGTTCACCACAACACCTGTTTTTTCACCAGCATTTACTGATATTCGTGACTGTTCTGTCCAAGTGAAGCAACAACTGTACATATGTATCCTCAGCATAAAGAGACCTTGCAGTGTTTGCGGCAAGTGAGAGAGCTACTAGGCTGTAGGCTGTCCTCGTTCCAAACAGGTTCTGGGGGAATTTGTACTGATTCTCCTTTGGGACTCCCTTTCCCTGGAGGTGCCCCACAAACTAGAGCAGATTAGAGAGAAATGAACAGAATAACAGTAAGTTTTCTTGCAGACACAGGATAATGTGAGAGGAGAGTTTTCCCTGTGAGGTGATAACTGCTGATAGTTGCTTTCACTTGGAGGACTTGCACAGATTTAGTGGAGAAAATGTATATACTCACCCTCTGCCCATTCAGATACAGTGTTAGTCTGCAAGAGCTGCATTTCCTCCCAGGATGCTTTTCTGAAATAAGTCAGTGTGAGTCTGTATTTGTGATTTGTTGTGTGATTTCTCCCTGCCCATATCTATTTTAGAACTGCTCAGATCACATGGTACTTACTCAAGGATAAGAAATGCCCCAGTGGCAACTTTTACTTATTCTTTCAGGAGATATATTTAGCAAAAAAACTCAAATTTTTATTTTGTCAGTTCTTCAGTTCCTAAAGTTCCAATTTTGATATGGCTTCAGGTATATTACTGGCAATACTTCTGAGGCTGTAAATAATGTTATTTATAAATCATCAAACTTCATTTAGTTAAGAAATGAGTTCTAATTATCAGGTCTAATAAGTGCAGATAGACTAGAAACGTAAACTTATTTGTGTATGGAATAAAACACCGTATACTGAGGATAATGTGATCACTTTCTTGAGATATATGTGATGCTAATATAAGTGGCTTTTCTTTCAGAAAATAATTAAGTGACCAATATTAATCAGAAGTAAGCAACACTTCATGGTATGTAATGATATCACAATTTATTGGAATTCTTTATATTGCTTTCATGAAGTATTCAGAAAAATAACAAATTCATGAAAGAATCAGCCACAAATAGGAGGCAAGTCTGTCCAAATTCTTTATAGTGTGACGCAGCACCTCTGCAGCTTCCCTAGTTATAAAAAGTAAGTGTATGTTTAAGGATTTGCAAAGTTGCTGACTCAGAAACCAATTCTGTTCTTCGTATGTTTTCCCTTAATGCTGAAATGCATTTTCTGCATTAAGATATATCATAAAGAACTGTATCATTTTGTTCTGTGGATTCTTGACATGTCTTCTTCAGTTTTTACTTTCTCACGAAAACTGTCAGATCATGGGGATAGTAGTTGTATTATACCTTGGTAAAGCACCTGGCAAGGAACAAACCTTTGGAGTTGGCATACAGAAATGGCTTTTGCAGTAGTTGCTGTATTTCCAGTGCGTAGACCTCGAGAGCATATGGGCCAATAAGTCTGTGATCCAAATACAGAGACAGATGGAAAGCATTACAGTGACTGGTTTCTGGTTTAAAGAAAATAACCCAGAACTTTTATTTTTAAAAAAATATATTCTGCAGTTTCATGTTTTGAAATGTGCAGAAAAAGTTAAAGATTTCAGTTACTTGTTTCACAAGCAGATTCTGATATATGCTGCACTCCCTTCGATAGCCTTTTCCATCATACATTTTATATAGCATAGTTACATTTTACAGCTATATTTAAATATTAACGTAGCCTGAAATTAGGCTGTTTTGAGCAATTAACATGAACAGATTTCTCATTAGCTAAGAGCCACACATAGTTTTCGTCAAGTGCAGAACCTACCTTTGCATTCATTATGGGAAAGTAGGCTGCCAAAAACAGGGTTTTGGTCAGCCCAAGAAAAGACAAAGTGACGAATTTGACTTTTTTGAGCAAATGCCTACTGTGTTAATCTTAGGTTTTGGTATTGGGTAAAATGCTAATAAGATGTTTTCCCTCAAATGTATGCAGAAAGACCAGAGCTGTTTTTCTGTATTCTACAATATAGCAATATGCTCAGTCTATAAATAAATGTGAATTTGTGCTGGTGGGTTTTATGAAATCTTTTATAACTCCTGTGTGTGCTTTTTTTTCCTCTCTCTCTCCCCCCACAGAAATACTTTCAATTACTGCACCCTATATTCAAAGCTACAGCTGAGATTAAAAAAAAAAAAGAAATGATAAAATTTTTTCTTATGGTAAACAAACAAGGTCAGACGAGACTCTCAAGATATTATGAGCATGTGGAAATTCATAAACGGACAATGCTGGAAGCTGAAGTAATCAAACACTGTCTGACCCGTTCAAAGGATCAGGTAAACTTTTGTATTTTTTTTTCTCTAGGCATGTCATCTTAAAACAGATTGTAAAACATTAGCATCCCACACCTTTTATGTAAATAATTCTGAAAAGCAAGTATACGAGCCTCCATTACTGACCATTACTTCCTTTGCACCCGTGAAGAGAAGAGCTGTTTTTCTAGATTATATATTCCCCCAGATAATCTGTCATACATTTTTTCCGAGGTTTAGAGAGTCATCCCTTTCTTCAAAGGAGCCCAGAAGTCCAGGGAGAATTTCTTTTATCCTGTTACTACTTGTCTAGCAGTGATCTGTAGATAGATGTTATTGCTGCTTTGCCAGAAAGTAACAAATATAGAATTGGCAGCTTTAAGTTCTCAGATCATGAAATTCTGATCTAATTTTTAAATTATTATTATTAATACGATTTCTAAACCTTCTTTTATGTATTCTGTTTTAAAATGAAAGTTCATTTTTCTTGCAAGAAAGTCAGAAAACACAAAAGTTGAAATTTTTCTTAAAGGAAAGTTAAATTTTCATGGCTCATGTTTTGGCTCTCTAAGAGGAGTACCAAACTCAGCAGAATTGTCAAGCAAGTTGGTTTGCAGCTGAAGAGAAATTTCTGACTTGGAATCTGAGTGGGGTTTTGGGGTTTGTTTTGCTGAAGTCAGCTTCTTTATTTTTCATTAACTGTGTGCGTCCTTGAAGAGTAGTCATCACATATTTTACTCTAGAAAACCTCAGTAAAAATACCATTTCCTACACAATACTTGAGTTCACAGAATTGACACTGCCTAAAGAAATTAACCTTCCCGATTCTGCTCGCAAGAGTTCTTTAAACAGAGACTTTACTGGAAGAAGTGCCAGTGCGCTCACTGACTACCATTTCAGGAACTGAACAGAACGCTGCTTTTAAAAAGGGTACTTACAAAGCAATGAGTAACAGCACCATCTACTGGCTTCCCTCCCATTGTGAAATACATACAGGTTTTCCCCTTGTGTCTGCAAGTTCAATACTCTGGTATTTCCTTTTTTTTTTTTTTTTTTTTTTGCATTTTCAGATGGAAAATGAGCTTTAGGTTGTCTCTTTTGGAAGTGTGGCCATTTGAAGATTTAAGGGAAACTCTTGCATAATAATCCTGCACAAATTACTACAGCTCTGTGTATCCTCAGTCTTGCATATGAAAAGGCTTTTAAGATGAGCAGATGAAAAGCCTTATGTAATAGGTAAATAAGCTGCTAGATTTCCTTCAGGACAATGGTTTGGGGGATATTGCTCTTTGTAGCCATACAATGTAAATGAAAGTTTCAGCCCTTTGGGTATTATATGTATTATAATAATGCATTATGCTTCAGTGGAAAATACTGTGTTTGACTATTTTTGTTTCTGCCTAGTGCTCTTTCATTGAGTATAAGGACTTTAAGCTGGTCTACCGACAGTATGCAGCCCTTTTTGTAGTCGTTGGAATCAATGAGACAGAGGTAAGAAATTATATAAGCTCTTGAAATATAAGTGTGTATTACTTGCAATCAAGAGCTTGGTCTTTCCACGATGGAATTTTGCAGAATTATGCAGTCAGGGAATTTCAAGCAGTTATTGCAAAATTATTTTTATTGCTATTAAATAAAAAGAAGTGTAAAAGAAAATCTGGTAAGTCTGACTTCCTTCTCTTGAAGCAGACTGAACTCTTACCACGAGATAGTCTTCATGAGCCTTATGCCGGTTCTGCTTTCTGAGGTTACGTTTGGTTAATGGAGATGGAGCTTCTCAGCAAATCTAAGCACTACAGTTGGATCAGATGTCTCATCAACAGTGACCTCCTAACTACTTGTTGGTCTTAACCTAATTGGGCAAAGAAGGAATTTCCAGACTGTCAGCTGGAGAGATGCCTTTTTTTGTATATATATTATTTTAATATCTGACTGAAAAATGACAAGTACTACTATTGCATGTCCTCAGGTGGCACCTGCAAGGCTTTAGTGTTTGCATTGGTACCCAGTTCTCAGAAATTTAGAGCTTATTGCCCCAGATCATAATGGGGCTGTGTGGAAGATAAGGGGGTCTCTCACAGTTATAAGGACATGCAATTCAGAGCAAATTCTTCTGGCCTTGGTGTACCATGCAAAATCACTCTATGCTGCTGCAGCAGTTCCTGGTGTGGCTCTCCTGCAGCTGGCAGATGCCTCTTCAGCATGGGCAGACATAGCCTACTTAGGTGTCTTTAGCTAGCACTGCTGCTGGTAGAAGAAGGGATGCAGCAGGCTGGGAGCAGCCCGGCCAGGCTCAAAGGCACCCTGTGGTGTTTGCCCATGTGGCTGGCCTGTCCTGAGGTTGTGCTCCAGAGCACCGCTGGGGCCTTAGGTGTGTGTCCACACTGACAGCCTGAGTTTGTGCATTTTGCTATAGGACTTGGTAATATTTTCTACTTTACATACATCACAGATTCAAATAATGCTATCCTATCTTCTGCCCATTCATTTAACATTCCATTGTTTTTAATTTAATTTCAGAATGAGATGGCGGTATATGAGCTAATTCATAACTTTGTGGAAGTTTTGGACAAATATTTCAGCAGAGTGGTAAGTGAGATCGAATCTATTACAAAACATTTCTTCTCTTTCAAAACTGTGGTTGCTTCAGGGAATGAATCAGGATTTTTTTTTTTTTTTTAGTATTTATGCAGGATTGTGCATGAATGCAAAATCCATCACTCATGCTGAACAAGTTTAGAAAGCTGGAACAAATGAAACCACAGCATCTAATCTCTGCTAGCGCTCCCAAATTATTGTCACACAACGGTGGCGCTCTGATAAAACAGCTATTACACAGTCAGTTAGGTAAGAATTCAACATCAGACATAGCTCCAGTTAAAATGATGCCACTCATCCTGGTGTGAGATTTTTTTGTTGTTGTTCAACAAAGTTTGAAAATGCAGCGTTATAATCCTGAATAGAGCTTATGCTATTAAATATTGCTTAATAAAGGATTTCTAAAGATCTTTCTAGAAAAATCTGGCTGAAGTCATACTTAGGCAGAGTTTCAGTTTGGTTATATTGAAATGTATTAGATAACCTTCTTACAAAAGAAGATTGGATAGAATTTCTGCCAGAGTCTATCAGCTTGAGGGTGTGGTAATTGCTTTACACACAAATGGCCAGTACGCAGGGGTTGTATCAGGGATTTTCCAGCACAGCGCTGCAGCAGGCAGAAGGGGAAGAGCAGAGCTGAGAGCACTTCTGTGCACGTCCAGGGGCCGGCTCGGTGAGGCCAGGTAACCCGCTGCAAACCCCATCCCAGTGCCCGGCAAAGGCTCCAGGCTGTTATCTCAGCTAACGCTCTACTGAAAATAGCATCTCCCTTTTGGATGTACTAAAACATGCGAATGAGGATTGCACTCACAATGTAAGCAGTGATAGTGAGGAATGGAGCTTGATCCTCACAGCACAAGAATGAACAGTAAAACCTACCAGTGTCTTGTTTATCTAACTGAGCTAATAGCTGCCAGCTTTTTCTCAAGTTGTTTTTTTCTTTCTTTTTGGTTGAGGTAGAACAAAAATAGATATAATTCTTATATGTCTAAACACAAGATGAAGCATTTCTTGGCTGGATTACAGATGTAATCCATATACTGATAGTTGTTAGAAATTTTTTGAATTCATCATAAGAGAGATTTTGGTTTTACTCATAAAAGTTGGAGTTTAAAATTAGGAGAACTGAAAAGGGGAGTGGTTAAAGAGATCTCATACCATTCCATGGTGCTATTTTTAATGGCATATAATACATAATGAATAGCAGAACGCTGAATAACAGGGCTATAATTCTAGCTGGGGTTTCTGGTAGAAACCACAGACCAAGAAAGTATTAGGTCAAATACTGTTCTGGGATAAATGATTAAGCTTTTCAGAATTTTAGCAGAATCCCAAATGATGATGGTAACAACAGCAGCAGAACTGTGAGAAGGAGAAGAACATCTGTCCTGCTCTAGAGGGACATTTTGTCATCTCTGTATTTTTAATTTTGTGACTTATAAACATTCTCACATAAGCTGTTTTTATCTAACTGAGTTTACAGAGCTTGAATTCAGATATCAAAACAACCATTCACAGAATTAGGGCAAGTCTTCAAAGTTGCTTCTGAGATTTAATTACGAGTCCTGTTCATTTTCATCCTAGCTACCTACTCTGCATTTTGTTCAAAATACATACTCCACCCTTTCAACTTCCTTTTAATATTAAGTAACGTCAAATTAATCAGGCTCTTGAAGTGTAATTTTTGTGAAACATAAAAGCTTCTTAATGGAAGGATAAGTGAGGATTGGGCAGTAGGGTGGGCATGAGAGGCCTATAGACTAGAACCACCTGTTTAGAGCGTCTTTAGAGCATGATAGCATTAGTAATTTTGTAAGTGGAAACTCTTCCCCGAAATCCAGAGCTAAGCTTTAAATAGAATCCGTAGAGGCAAAAGTGCTATATTCCTTCAGCAGCAGAGGAAGAAGTTGTGTGGGAATGGGATCTGTCTTTAAGCAGAGATTAGGAAAGCTCCACCCTAACTGGGCAGGATCTTAATCACTGAGGCTGTGATTAATTGTTCCTAAATTTAGATACTTAACTGAGGCACCCAAGTTAGAAGTCTGGTCATCTGATGCTGCCATTATGGTCAGTGGGAGCAGCAGGGATCTCTAGCAAGTGAGTCACGTCTCAGGAGCGCCGAGGCAGCTCTGCGAGACACCCCCCTCTCCTGGCGACACCGGCGCTTCCAGCCCTTCAGTTCCGCGTGGCTAAAACTTGTCAGGGAGCCAGGCCAAGGACAGAAAGGAAGGGATGACAATGGGAATTGTCCTGCTCGGGCTAGAGCAGAAGTTAAGAAGTGTGAGGGCTCCAAGGCTGCAACCGGCCTGTCTTCTCTAATATATCCTGCCCTGGCTCCCACAGCCATGGGCATGCACAATATAGAGGTTTTGTCATGGAAACGATATGCAGCAAAAATTTTAATGCATGTTTAGGTAAATTGTAAAGTTGGCATCAACAACCTGTTTTTGTAGGAGGAACATAGGACGGAAGGTGGCGTGATTAGCAATACTGCTTTAGCCTATTTCTCTACCCGCTCAGCCAGGCAGCACTGCATTTATTCCAAAGGTTACTAGTGTCTCATCTCAGTGTTTTTCTTAGTAAAAATTTCAGCATGTTATCTCTTGTTACGAAGGCAGGTGACCCAAAGGCAAAGGAGGCTTACAGTTTAGAACATGGATCTGTGCAGTCCAAAACAGAAAACTGGATAGCCCTGAAGTTTTGCATCTGTATTTTGAGGACTTCCTTTATCCTCTAAAGGGACTCTTGTGTCATGTTTAATGACATGAAATGACAATGTTAAATGACAATGTTTGATGAGATGAAAGATAAAACTGTAATTAATGGTCGTCTGCTTTTTTTTTCTTTAATTTATTTCAGAGTGAATTAGATGTATCCTTTTCAATACCAGAAATTTGTCTATGATGTACCAGTTCATAATGTCATCATAATGCTGAATGCCACAGGGATAAGACCAGGCAGAGTCATGGCTTCACAGATTTTGCACCTGGAGTAAGTAGCAATATTCTGGCACCCATTAGAAAATGTGGCTAATATTCATGAGGGTCTCCTGCTTAAATCTTCAGCCATTAAGATTAACCTGGTATCATTTAAAGTAGGACAGGCAGAATGCGCTTTCAGAGAACTATGTCACGCCAACAGCTAGACATGAACAATTATGTTTCTGGGGACCTTTCAGGCTCAAGTGAGGATTATTTTTCTTTAAATTTACAATAAAATACACAATGAAATATGTTACAATAATAAGTAAACATTATAGCTGTGTGGGGATTTAAATAGTAGAGCAGAAGGATCATTGCAAGATTAGGCTTTCACTTGCCTTATGAAAGTCTAGGTGAGTTGTACTTTTTTATGTCAGAAACAGAAAAGAGAAGGTCAGGAGGAGGAAACTTAGGAAAACAGCCATTGCAACAGATGCAAACAGATTTTTTTCCATATACAGCCATATTTTCACAAGTACTGGCTAACAGTTATTAGATAAAATACAATCGAACTGAAATAAAATCAAATACAAATGCTAAGTGCTAAAATACAACCTTAATACTTAAATACAATAAATAAATAAAATATAGTACCAAATACTAAACTGCAAAGTAGGATGTAGTAGGAGAATGTAGTGCAAAGACCTTCTTTCACAGTAGATATCTAATCCTAGTCCTTCAATCTTCTTCCTCCTCAGTTTTTCCTGTCCCAGATTTCCCCTGGGTTGTAGTTTCAAGTTGTAGTTCAACCATCCTCATGACTAGAAATGTGGCTGGTCATATGAGGTACTGCTGGTACAAAGGGTTTTGGTAATACACCTGAAATACTGTTGTCAGTCTGGAATCAAATGCTTAAAATTAATTTTAATTACCATATTTAAGCATTAATACAGGCTGTTCAGTTTTGTATTTATTTTTGACAACTCCTTGAATAGGAGATAAACAGGTCCAGAGAAACAATATAGGATCTGGACCACAAGTGTCTTAGCTGTTAATGCAGTGAAAAGAATAATCCGTCATTATGCCTTTCATAAAGCATAAAATAATATCCCCACCTGGGATTAACCCATTTCCTGTGCCAAACAGTCATAGCTACCTCTTACACAGAGTATAATTAGCTTGTATGCATAATAGCTGAGGGAGGAAGCGCAAACTCAGGGTCTGTAACAGCAAATATCAAGCCTTATTTATAGACTCTTTGTATGCTGAGTACCTGGCTGGAGATGGGCATCACGTCCTCTCTCTGTCCTACTCTTTTTGTGTAGAGATTCACATGAAGTTTCTTTTAAAAGTGATAGCAGTTATTTTATACTGAAAATAATATTTACTAATATGAAAATTACAGTAAGAATCTATATGAGATCCAAAACGCAAAAAGTAGAGCAAAATCACATCAAAGCTCTTCACCCATTCAGAGCAAACCACCGTTAAACCTAAAAGTTGTTGCTGAGGCACTGGTGAGTTATTGCTGGCACGAAGGCAGCTTGCGCGCTGGTCTTTAAAGCATTCCCAACCTCCGGCTGCAGCTGCTTGGGAACGTGGGCTCAGGCGTGTGCTTCAGTGCCAAGCCCTTCCTTCCCCCGAGCCTGGGAGCAGCCGGGGCTCCCCCCGCCGCCGGTTGAAACTGCTCTGAGTATTTAATTGTGTTGCGGGACAGCTGAATGAGTAAGTGCTAGAACTGTTCTAGCCCCCTTGCTTCCTCGTGTGTTTTAATCACTAGAGGAGCTTTTGTGTATCAACTAGTGGGTGGAATTTTATGTAGCTCTAAGATCACGGCTTGGGTGGTGTAGGATCCTCCTTCTTGGAGCTATTATGACAAAATAATAATAATTACAAGAAAAATACATTTACAGGTTATTACAGCAGCTTTGTAGAGGATAATATATTGCTAAGAATGGTTAAATGGCTAAAGGTTGGCTTTACCAGCCTGAGCTGGTGAAGTTCAGCACTCTTGGAGACACAGCTTATGGAAGAGCCAAGCTGAGGGAGAGGTGGAGGAGCCAGAGGTCTCTAGAACGAAGCATTCAAACAACATCATCTTGATGTAAAAAAATGACATCCCCTTGCAACTAGTTTATTCTTCTGCTTCGCAGATAACAGGCTCTGAGACAGGAAATACTTCTGTGAGTCATTGTATTCTGTCTCCTGTGGAATAACACTTCCAGAATATGGCACATTTTAGTAGTATGGCATATTTAAGATGAGAAAAATCAAATGATAAATTCATACTGAGAGCTTCTAACGCTACACGTCAGTGTCTGCTGTGAAAGAAGAGGATAAAATGGAAACCTATCGTATTAGTTTCTAACTGCTTGTTCACTAAAAGAAAGTTTCCCTTTGGGCTGTGATGTAGGAAGAGATGTTCTCACATAAGGGACAGCACCAGCCTTCAGTAAGGCTAGACCCACAAGGAGTAACTGAGTAGGAGCCGCTGGTTGCTCCCATAGTAGGGGCTGGTAGATAACCTACAATATCACAGAATTTGAAGGTACCATTTGCCCCCTATTTAATGTGCGCAGAGTTATTTGAGGAAAAAAAACACGCAGAAAGCAGCATTAAACCAGCACCTAAATCATTCAGCACCTAAAATTAACCTGCCATTAGATAGGTAGAAGTTGCTTTAAAGAAAATGTTGGTAAAGATAAAGTCAGAATAGATGAGGTTTATTAACCTTACATTAAAAAAAAGGAAAAAAAAAGCAAGCAGCAGAAGGTAACCTTTAGTTGAAGATTTGTGGCCAGGATGACAGTCAAAGTTTTGCAATGAGTGTATATTCAGTAGCAAAGCATCTGCCACTTAAGCAGTCACGCTGTCACCCACAGAGCCTTTGTTTGCGCTCTTGGGTGTGCTGCCTGGTCACAAAGTGGTGGCTGCACCTTATCATCTCTTAAACCTGTGCACACCCTTAGTTACTCACCTAGGAAACCCTGAGATACCTGAACATGCCCCTCAATGGAGAAGGTGTAAGTCACAAACAAGGCTTGAATATGCCTTTTTATGCCTTCCTTCCTTCTCCACCCGGCTATCTGCCTATGTGATAGTTCTGGGAAGGAGACACAAGGTAATGCATCATCTCCAGCTCCTCTCTGTACATGCAGGCTGTAAAACCTGCTTGTGAGAGTAGAAAAGCATCACTAGTTCCTCAGTAGGGAAATAGCTCCTTAGGTCACTGAAAGCCAGCACAGGATTTAAGTATCAGTTTCAGTAGGTGCCAGGTTCACACCCTGAGTAGCTTTGGGTGAAATCCATGAGCCAAAGAACATAGTGAACTTCCAGCCTATGCAGAAGCTGAGCCCTGTGGGGTCTCCTACTTGCTGGGTGCTCCGTCAGAGCCGCGGGGATGAATGAGCACAGGCTCTCGGTTACAGAATGCCTCTTAGAGCTGTGAGGCCCCACAGAGGTGCCGTGGGGGCAGGCAGGAGCCTTTGTGGAAGCAGGACACGGGGCAGAGTACATGTCCTCTTCCTCCTCCTAGTCAGATGGGGTCAGTTGGCCGCTCTTCAGCGGGATCCGGATCTCTGACTGCAGCACCCGAAAGCCTGAGAGCTGGGATCACTGGCCAAGCATGTGACAGAGAACGAGTATCGCTGAGGAGCGGGGACAAGTGACCCTCGGGGGGCAGCACGTTCAGGCTTGTAGGGCTAAGATGCAGGAGTAGAGGCCAGGCACAAGGCACGAGGAAGAGAAGCAAGCACCATGAGTGCTCAGTGGGGAGGCTGACTGTGCCACGAGCAGCACGGGATGGCCACGGGGGAACGGAACCGAGACACAAACCTGGGTGTTGGGGAGAAGGATCAGGCTGCCTTGAGACCTTCCAAACGTGAGAGGAGAGATCTTTCCTGAATCTTTTTCCAAAAAGTGCAATATTAGAAGAATTTTGTCTGAGATCTTTAATCTGCCAAGCAAAGGAAAAGAGCTGCTTCTATCTCCATACTCACAGCATCTGAGATCAGTACAGCTTTCAGGACAGTGCTGTTTATCAGTACTGACGACCTGGATCTGATTGTTAGGTGCAGTTGAGGCCTGTGGCTAAATTCAGAGAGCAGCCTGGGATTAGAACTAGGTGGACAGGCTTAGACCAGAAAAGTGGAAGCTTTCTGGTTAACCATGCCCATCCCCAACACCCCTCTCTTCTCAAGAAAGTTAGCTGGGGGCTTGAACTCTGCAGTCACAGATACCTACACCTATTTCACTCTTGGCCAAGCAAAACACATTTATTGGAGCAGCTGAATCATTAACCAGCTGCTTCCACCCTGCGCTCACCTCCAGCAGCCGAGTTCAGCCCGGAGAGCTCGTGCTGATGCTGGACAAAACGGCACCCTGTGCAGCCCCTCCTACAGCAGGAGCATCACACTCCCTTCCACATCTGGGAGAACAACCTTAAACAGAAGCAGCTGCTGCAGCTGCCTCTGTCCCAGCTCCACTTGCCTGTTTGGAAGTCCCCAGGCTGAGGAAGAACTCGGCCCAGGGCCTGCGTGGCTTTGAGCGTGAGACAGGCAGCATCTCCACCTGGACATTTTAAAAGACGAGTCTGAGCCAGTCATCGTTACCCAAAGTAAATGAGCCATTTATTTACTCTCCTTTATGAGGTTTGTTGTTAAATTGATGCATCAGCTCTTTCATACCAGCTGGTTCCCTTTGGGAAGCTATTTTCAAGCAGGTTGAATACACACCATAAGCAACTTAGGGCAAGAAAAAAAATATTTAAGAATGAGATTGTTGGTCATTTGTCAACAAATTCCTAAAAATTTATTTAGGAGAAATGCAGAGTATTTGCATTTTCACATTCAAGTTGGTTGTCCCTTGATAACAGTATTTTATATTCAAGCAGTAAATAGTACCCAATAGTAAAAATAACCACCTAGGTAAGTGCAAGCTTGCCTTTCTTTTACTACTATATGATAAGCTTCCAAAATGCAACCTTGGTGGGTGCTTTATCTTATCTGCTACAAACTTTGGACATCTCAGTGGCCAGGAAAAAACAGCTCAGTTGAACTGACCATGAGCACTAATAAACAGTGAAGCAAACCAACATTTAGAAATTCTAATCAAAACCAAGAACTGAGATGCCAGAGATTCTCTCTCAATTATTTACATGCATGTCAAAATATTCTTAACTTGAAATGCTTTAGATAATGTTCAATTTGGACAGAGTGCACATCATTTTGGATGAAATGGTGCTAAATGGTTGCATCGTGGAAACGAACAGAAACAGAATTCTTGCCCCTCTACTGGTGCTCGACAAAGTGGCAGAAAATTAGCAAGATGCCAGACGCCAGCATCTCCCAAGGACAGCACGACCACGGAGGCCACGCCGACAGCACGCTGCTCCCTGCGCAGCAACAATATTCAAACTACTGGGAAAATATCCAGAATTTCCTCTTACTACCCTGTCTAGACTAAGCACAAAGTGGATTCTTAATTTGTAACTTTCTATTGACACAGCAGAAATCTTTCTGAAACACTTTTTCCAAGGACAGCATGACCACGGAGGCCACGCCGACGGCACGCTGCTCCCTGCGCAGCAACAGTATTCAAACTACTTGGAAAATATCCAGAATTTCTCTTTACTACCCTGTCTACCCAATGGAAAGATGTGACTAAGCACAAAGTGGATTCTTAATTTGCAACTTTCTATTGACACAGCAGAAATCTTTCTGAAACATTTTTTTTTTTTTTTTTAAATTCCCTGAGGACAAAATAATGGAAACTTACTCTTTTTCTAGAGGTTTCACTCATATTATGTAGCATAGTGCCAGGCCTAGGAGAAGACAGAAAATACAGAAATACAATTTCACTTGAATTCTTTTCAAACAAATGTATATTAAATTTCTGTAACTTTTATGACCACCAGGTTCAGCCTTCATCAAAAAGTTGGTTTCATTTCCCTTGCCAACAGAAATCATGGTTATGAAAGAAATGTGAACAACAGAACCATAGATGTATTGAAGATTCCTGCACACTGCGGAAGTTGTAACTTGAAATATTTGGCACTTGCAGTATTGTAACTTTAATAAAAAATAATTAAAAATCAAAGCATTACCTTTTATCATATACATATTGGTTCCATAAATTACACAAAATCTTTTGTATCTCAGCATAGTCTTTTTTTTTTTTAAAAAACTCTCATATTTCTCTAGCCACATGTTACGATCATAAACACTACGAATGGTGCATAGCAAAAATATGCAAGTTTCTCACTACCAAATCACCTCTCCCTGCTGGAGCAGAAGGTGGTAGCTCAGTAACAAAACGTTGCCTTGCATGTGTATGCTAGGGACCAAATCAAGCACGAATTGGCAGCCGGTGTCCCCTCCACTTACCTTCCTAGAAGGAAGGCACCCGGCCCCTCCGCAGCAGCCAAACTCGCGCTAGGCATGACCTGACGCTGAAATAGCGCCCGTTGCGTGGACCTGCGTAAGCGAGGGGCTAGACTGATCTGAGTCTGAGGGGCATCTAGAAAGCAGGCTCTACCACGTACCGAGTAACGTGTTGTGGGGAGCACAGTCCCCAGCTCCCGAGTTGTTTTCCTTCTCTCACCCAGGGAACCCGAGTGGCCTCCCAGTTCTGTGCCCTGGAGACACCACCAAGTACAAACATTTCTTGCAAGTTATCAAGCATCTCCTAATTTTTAATTGAAGATATTAAATACAATTTTGTGGACCTCTACTCACAGATAAAGCGAGCACTGCCCACAGTCTAGAACCGTCAGTCCAGGATCTCAGCAGTTTGAGGCACGCGAGCACTCCTGTCATCTCAGCACAGGCCCACGCAAAACTTAAGTACCAAAGGAAAAAAAAAAGTCTATTTATTGCAGGAGTACTAGTTTTTCTTTGATGGTGTCAAGATATTAAAGACATGCTAATACATTTTTTGCTTCCTTGTGTTCTAAGTCAGTCACTATTTACCAAGCAGTACCTCAGCCCTGACACCAAGACGCGCATCCCATGCCAAGGGAGGCTAAAGCAGCTGCGCTCAGTGAGCCACGGGTCACTCCAATGTGAAGAATTCCAGCCTCAGGAACACAGGTACCCGACGCACAGCAAAATGCAGAGAAAAGGGCCACATGCAATGGTGGCACTGCCAGGCGAGTTCTTAAAAAGCTACGCTGCCTCATTAAAGAACAAAAGACAAAAGCTGATCCCACAGATGAGTGAGAACGGTTACTCACATGGATTGTTTCTACCCTTGACAAAAGGCACATTATTCAGAATGTGCAGTTTTAATAAGATTTGAAAAATGTTAATGAAATATTCAGAGGAGACAGTTTTGTACGCTGCAAACATTTTAATGATTACTGTTGAGCTTACACATCGGGGTTTTTTTTCTTTTTTCTTTTCAACTTCAAACTGCAACAAGTTAAATAAATGTTTATAATATACAAAGAAAATACAACCAAAAGTAAAACTTGCTTTAAGTGTGCCTTGTACTAGGAACCAGTGTTTTCTTAATAGCTTTATTGTTGAGCTGCACAAACACACTTAAGGATTTGATCTTTAAGCAGGGCATTTGAGAAATTAAAATATATTCCCACTTGAAAGAAAAAAAAGAGGGGGTGTGCATGATTATATGCAAAAACCCACTAAGATACTCCAATAGTGCAGGCACCATTAAAAAAGAAAAGCTGGAGATGCCCATTAACTCTAAGTTTTAAGGAAGCAAGTTTCTGACCAGTTAGCGTAAAGCCAGCGAAACAGGGATCAGTGATGGCAACTGTAGTGTACAAGGTATTAAATGACAAACTTTACACAAATACACTGTTAGAAATTTGTATCAGTGAACACTGAAAACTGATGATCTGTTCTTTGGAACAGTCAAACAGAACCACCTTAATTTCCAGTTGTGCAAGCCCTTGAAGCATCACACAGTGTTCTGTGCCAATTTCTTGCTGGCTGTGTAGTAACAAGGATTTATTGTCATTAGCAGCTAACAAACTTATTCCACATGTTCCTAAAGCCTCAGAGGTGAAAACAAGGCAAGTCTTCAGAGCACAGCGTGGAGATCATATTTTTTGCACACAAACACAAGAGGCTTCGCTAGTGTCAACGCCCCTGCTCCCGCGGCGGCCGCAGGGGTGGCTCAGTTGAGGTGGAAGCCCTTCTCCATGGTGGCGGCCAGCAGGCGCTCCCTCATGATCTCCTCGGAGGAATACTCGGGCAGCTTCAGGTAGTGCACGCACGTGTTCACCGACGGGTAGCTCGCATCCGTGGCGTCCACCTGAGAGGAAGCGACAACGGATGTTACTGCTCTTGTTCCCAATGCTCTAAGATGGAAGTTACAAGTTATCAGGTCCTCTCATCCATGGAATTAACGTGCAGAAGACCAGGGCGTCAATAAACAGCAGCATCACGAAAGCTTCCGAGCTAACTTAGAATTTCATCTACTTCATGCATTTAATTCCTGTATTGTAAATAGTCAAACAGGAGACCTGGAACAAAAGTTAGCACTGAAAGCTTAACAGAGTGGTGTAAATGAGGAACAGTAAGAAGTATCACTAATTCCTCTCTAACGTGGCAAAGGTCACACCTGCAAGCTAAAGCAGCTGGTGTGAAGGGCAACGCGAAGACGCCGCACCTTGCGTACAACAGTGAGGCGCGGGTGAAGGTTGGCCAGTCCTCCTGGTGGGAGCGTTGAACAACCCGTGGTGAACTGCAGAAAAGCCTTTCTTTCATCTGAAGACATGCCACACAGCACTCGGACAAAGCGCAGGAAGCCGGGGCTGGAAATACACAACACCACAAAGCCATCAGCTGTGGTAACGTAACACGAGAGGGTGTCTTCACTGGAGACAGAACGAGGAGCACCTTCACTCAAGTGTAAGTAGTCACTAAGGTACCAAGTGCCCCTTCAGCACCGAGTTAAGCAATAAAACATTAAAAATACGATTAAATGCTTCTTTACTCTCTTTGCTGGATATTACACACACAAAAAACTAGGTAGATAAAAGATCTTCTCTATTCTTATCTTGCAGTATTCTTCAGGTTTCTTGTGTAAGAACTTGCAGAGGAACAGACAGAGCTCAAGCCTAATCTATGAAATGAGTCCCACTGACCCTCATCTTAGCAACTTTTCTGTATTACTTCTACAGTATGAAACCGCTTTCGATTGTATATGATTTCATTTATATCCTGTTAAATATATATCCACCAATCTCAAATAATTTGCAAACTTTTTTTTTTGCCCCCCCACCTCCCCCCCCCGGCTTTTTTTTTTCCTGCATATATGCAAGGAAGGACACGCAGAGCCACTACCCGTCTTTTGGTTCCTATTTCGCAGTGACACAGAACGCAGTTACCTGTCTCGTGTGTAGCCCAGTTTGGGTTCGGTGTAGTTGATGATATCCTCAGCTGCCCACGAAGGCGATTGATTTCCACAAAGAATCATTTGAACTTCTTCATGGCTGAAGGAACTCAGCTTCTCCATTGGGAAGACTCTATTAAAGCCATCTTTAATTTGCACAAGATAGTTAGAAACATTAGTCAAGACAGTATTAGAGATAAGTTCAGCTTTTCAACTATGTCTTAATCAAACCAGAATCAAATCAACAGTTCAGCTAAGGAAAACTGGGGGCTAGTAACACCTTTAAAACAAGACCAATAATGGCAAGACTAGTGCCAACATGTTAGGAAACCAATCTCTCCTCTCCTGCCCTCTTTCTGTACTGGTCTGTTTTTGGAAGCCCTTCTGTGCCGCCTCGAACGCCAGCGCGTCCAGCCTCGCGCGCAGGATCCGCCCCAGCCCGAGGTACCTCTGAAGGCCTCCATCTGCTTCTGGATACCCATGTGCATGCAGAAGTCAAACATGAGGTCCACGTACTCCTCTGCGTTGTCCATCGTCACCGTCTGCGAACGCAGCACAAAAACGCTGTAAGACTGCACTAGAACTACTGCAGAGACAGAGCACTGGTGAAGTGCTGAGGAGAGGCTGCTCCCTTACCTCATCTTCACCACCTGGTTTGAGATCCACAGCTGTAAACCCATACACTTTGGAGGAAGGGCAAAACTGGAAATTCAGCCTTCAAAACAAAGACAGTTACTCGTTGGAAACAAGACTCCTACTGCTTTTGCAAACACACTGGACTTATAATCTGCCCTGCCATGGCCCGCAGAAAGAAAGCATCTCCCCATCCCACCTGGAACACTGCTGATAGATCCTGCCACAGACAACAGCAGCAGCACAGCACAAGGCTGCAAGTAATAACCAAGCGCGCGCATGTTGCACATCTCTGGCACGCACGTGTGTCTTCTGCCACTCTAGTTACTT